CCCCTCCACCACCAACCACCCCACCGTCAACCCCCCTTCTTGAGCGTCAGACCGGATGGTTTAAAACCACCGAGAGCGGATGAGCCACCGCCGCGGTGGTAGCAACCCCCAAATTTAGCTGTGGGTGTCACCCTTGCAGCACCCAAGGGTGCTGGGGTGCTCCTCACCTCCTGGGCTCCAGCGAGGGCAGGGTGATGATCTTCTCGAAGTTCATGACGAAGGTGGGTGTCACCCTTGCAGCACCCAAGGGTGCTGGGGTGCTCCTCACCTCCTGGGCTCCAGCGAGGGCAGGGTGATGATCTTCTCGAAGTTCATGACGAAGGCTTCCAGCCACTGCTGCAGGTAGGAGAGGTCCTTCTGCAAGGGCGAGGGCGGGGCTGGAGCCGCTGGCCAATCAGATCTCACACTGACCACTGCCCCAGAAGTATCAGCCAATCAGCAGCCAGAGCAGTAAAACCCTGCCCCTCTAGGAGCCGCTGGTCAATCGGCACTGGGGGTGTGAGCACACCCTTGGGAGCCACTGGCCAATGGGCAATCAGAGCAGCACAACCTGTGGACCTGCTGGCCAATCAGCACCCAGAGCAATGCAACCTGTGGAGCTGTTGGCCAATCACCACTCAAAGTACACAAATCTGTGGAGCTGCTGACCAATCAGCACCCAGAGCAGAACAACCTGTAGAGCTGCTGACCAATCAGCACTCAGAACAACACAACCTATGGAGCTGCTGACCAATCAGCACAACCCATAGAGCTCCTGACCAATCAGCACAACCCATAGAGCTTCTGACCAATCAGCACTCAGAACAACACAACCTGTGGAGCTGCTGACCAATCAGCACAACCCATAGAGCTCCTGACCAATCAGCACAACCCATAGAGCTCCTGACCAATCAGCACAACCCATAGAGCTCCTGACCAATCAGCACAACCCATAGAGCTCCTGACCAATCAGCATCCAGAGCCACACAACCTGTAGAGCTGCTGACCAATCAGCACCCAGAGCACCTGCCCCTACAGACAACTACCAGCCAATCAGCAGGCAGAGCCAGGCGCGGGCCGCCGGCACCGCCTGTCACAACCCCCGGCCCGGCGGTTGTGCAACAGCGTGATTCACCCCGGGCGGCCACCGTGCTCCGGTGCTGGGGTTCCCCCACCCATCGCACCTGGGGGTCACCCCTGTCCCCGAGCACCCCCATACAGCGCCTTGGGGACACCCCCATCCCCGAGCACCCAGCGCAGCCCCGTGGGGTGACCCTCATCCCCATGCACCCCAATGCAGCCCTTGGGGTGCCCCATGTCCCTGAGCACCCCCATGCAGCACCTTGGGGTCACCCACGTCCCCGAGCACCCAGTGCAGCCCCGTGGGGTGACCTGTGACCCCAAGAACCCCCATGCAGCCCCTTGGGGTCACCCACATCCCCAAGCACCCATACAGCATCTTGGGGTGACCCGTGACCCCAAGTACCCCAGTGCAGCCCCGTGGGGAGACGCATGGCCCCCGAGCACCCCATGCAGCACTTCGGGGTCCCTGAGCACCCACACAACACCTTGGGGTGACCCTCGTCCCCGAGCACCCAGTGCAGCCCCTTGGGGTCACCCAGATCCCCACGTACCCCCATGCAGCACCCTGAGGTCACCCATGGCCTTGCACACACCACACAGCCCCTTGGGGTCACCCACGTCCCCAAGCACCCCAATACAGCGCCTTGGGGTCACCCACATCCCTGAGCACCCCTGTGCAGCACCCTGGGGTGACCCTTGTCCCCAAGCACCCCAATACAGCTCTTGGGGTGCCCCATGTCCCCAAGCACCCCCATGCAGCCCCGTGGGGTCACCCACATCCCCAAGCACCCCCGTGCAGCCCCTTGGGGTCACCCACATCCCTGAGCACCCAGTGCAGCCCCTTGGGGTGCCCCATGTCCCCAAGCAGCCCCGTGCAGCACCTTGGGGTGCCCCATGTCCCTGAGCACCCCCATGCAGCCCCTTGGGGTCACCCACGTCCCTGAGCACCCAGTGCAGCCCCTTGGGGTGACCCTTGTCCCCGACCACCCCAGTGCAGCATCTTGGGGTCACCCATGTCCCCGAGCACCCCAATGCAGCCCCTTGAGGTCACCCATGTCCCCGAGCACCCCAACGCAGCCCCTTGAGGTCACCCACATCCCCAAGCACCCCAACACAGCACCTTTGGGGTCACCCACATCCCTGAGCACCCCCACACAGCCCCTTGGGGTGTCCCCAGCCCAGGCAGGGCCCGTCCCCCCTTAGGGACACCCTGCTCTCCTCAGGGACCGGGCCCCCCCTGGGGACACGGCGGGGGGGGCCCGATCCCTGCCCCAAGCAACGCAGGGGACCCCGAGGGGACCTCCACACCCCCTCCCAGCAGCATCCCCCAAAAACCCAGTCCCCCCCAGTTCCCCCTAA